TTCTGTTATTTTGTTCACCCTATTCAAATAAATGAAGGTTCGTTAAATAATAGAAACATCAACAAAATGCAATACATTTCAACAGCACTATAAACAGCCTCCAAAATGATTATAGCTACAGCTGAATTAACAACTCTTTAACACTGTTTCAATAAAACTGAAACATAAAATACATCCGCAAGCATCTTCTCAGACTGAAACATAAACTTTTTTCTGTATAGAAGCTCTGCCAATAAAGGTATTTTCTTTCTTGCTTCGCCTTGTAAATGCAATGGTGGCTGAAACTCTTGGCAAGGCTGATAAGTAAACAGCTGTTAATGCTAACGTTGGCTATGTAGCAATAGCAAAATGTACAAATAGCTCCTTTAACCTATATACCTCCTCATCTCCTTTGGTAGATCCAATTTCCCCTTAATTCCTTCTTGTCCCAATGGTTTCCTGATGGTGACCTTTCATTTCATATCCTGCTTTGTGAATTAAAGGCATTAACGCTGCCAATTAACACACACACACACAAGCACGCAGCAACAGGTGCACATACCCATAAATTAACACCCCAGTGACATATACGACTGTGATGCCTTCACCTAAGAATGTGGCCAAATCACAATAAGATCAACTGCAGTAATCTCCTTTATGAATAAAACATAATAGGAATTCAGTGACAGTGTGCAAACCCTGAACAGCTGGCTGCTGACTGATTGACTGACTCACTGTTCTGTGTGCCACTGAGTTCAGAGAGCCATGTTGACCTCAACAGAACATACGTTTGATACACCGCCTGTCATTTGCCTTCTTCTGTAGTCTTTTCCAGCCTGCGTATTTTCTTAATATTAAGTAGGGGTACAGAACAAGGCTTCAGGATGTTCAAGAGGCAAAAGCACTCTGCACAGCTTGTCAAATTACCTTCCTAATGGCCAGCTTGTCAGACTGCCTCGTCTCTGTGCAGAAAGAAAGGACAAGTTGGGGGAGCAAACCATTCTCTTCCTTGTCACAGAAAAATCACTCATTCATCTCTTTATATGATACCTTTGCTTTCTTTTCTTTTAGGCCCTGCTTCTCAAGTGCATCCTGCTTGTATTCAAATGGTAGTAATGACTTGGCGGTATGAGAGTAGGGTGTAGAGAGAGGCCGGCTGTATTGTTGGACTGTCAATCGTTTGTCTGCACTCATTCAGAGTTTCCGCACCGAGCTTTAATAGGCTTTCCCATTAAGTCTAGTTAACCATCGTTCACCTGAGTCATCAGTAAGAGGTCAAAGACCGGATTAATTGTTTCTCCTTAATTGCAAGATTACATCTTCAAAATCATTATGGTCTTTTTCATACATTGTGTCTAATGGCTTTATTTCTGGGTTTTCCATCACAGAAAAGATGATGTGTTCAACATTAGTTTGGTGGTTAAAAAATGCACAGAAAATAAAAAGAAATATTTTTTCCATTTTAAAAAGATATTGTCTCTGAATGCTTAGAAACTGCATCGCAAAAGTGTATTATTTATGTATTGATATTTTATGAAACAATCCATTAAGCTGCATCTCCTTCCTTAGACCACATAAACTCAAATTATAGGGTCAGAAACATTCTGAGCTTGGAGATGAAGATTTGTACAGAAAAAGATTTGTATTTCTACCATTAAAAAAAGAGACTGGGAATAAAATCTGTGAACAAATGGTACACAAAGGCACTGTGAAGGAGGAAGTGCTTTTATGAACAGCTGTGTACAGATACATAACAGAAAACTGCACGTAATACTCAACACTCAAAAACTTTTCACACTGTGTGCGACACTGAAGTTACAAAACGAATCTTGATCCTGTTTGTACAGCTGAATCTGATTGGACATTGACAATCCAATCACAAAACAAGTGGCTCTGGTGTTTTCATCTCTGCTGCAGATCCTGAAAGGTGTGGTAGATTGAGATGGATGATGGGGCGGGCTCCTCCATGATCCAGGTTTACCATTATTTTCTACAGCATAATCAAATATAATTAAAGCCAAATCCTCTTAGAAGATTTATAAGATCTACAGAGGTAAGTACATTTACTCAAGTACTGTACATCAGTACAAATTGAACATACTTGTAGTTTACTTGAGTATCTTTATTTTACGCTGCTTGTACTACACTACATTAATTAATGTAACTATTGTACTTTTTACTGCCCCATGAATCTGGCATTTTATTGGTTACATAGACCTAATTACTCTTACATATTCAGACTATTAATACAAATATAATTTGCTAATTATCATTGGTTTATTGTAGATTAAGGTGCCCAGCAGTATATGTAGTAGTTTAAATTAGCCCCATCTTTACCAGCTGCAACAATAAAGTGATGTCTATACATTAATGTATTATAATCCAATTATAGATTATTAGTCTGAAACAGGTAATTCTGCATGAGTACTTTTGATTTTGTACTTTAAGCAAATTTGAATGCATGACTTTTAAAATTGAGTATTTCTACACTGTGGTGTTGTTACAGTTTCTTTCCTCTTTTTGTAAAATCCCCATCAATGTGTACCTTTTTCTTCTTTGACATGTATATGGGATGGCAATAGGCTTTTTAATGGCCTTTAACATACCGTACCTATGACACCAAAAACTTTTTTCAGTTAAGATAAAAATCCCTGAAAACTTTGCTATAAATGCTATGGGTCTTTTCTTCATTCCTTTCAAACCACAATAATCATCCCCTCCATCCATCCCAATGAACCAAACCAAAGTAGGAAGGTACTTTATTGTTTCCTAAGTCCAATTTCCTCATAATTTTCTATTCCTTTAATGAGTCACATTCTCAAGCCTCAGCAGGCATGCACACACACGCACACACATGCACGTGCACGCACACACACATAAACAGACACGCAAAGAGGTATGTTTTTTGCCATGAAGAAAAACCATTTGCTCATTTTGATGGAGGCCTAAAAGAGAGGTTGAGCTGTCTAAGTGGATTTTTCATTACTAAATGTAATAGGGCAAAGAAAATTACAGCTGCTGCTGCAGAAGGGGTATTAGGATTGCTCATGTACTTTTTACATTGACAATTGTAATGACCAAAGAGGGACAGTGCAGCTGTATATGAGCATTAGAGAAATTAGCACGGTGCTCTCTCTCCCATGTGTGTGTTCTATCCCTCCTGTCTCAGTCTCCTTCACTCACCTGCTATCTGCAATTTGGAAAGGTACATCCAAACTCACCGGAGAATGAAAAAGCTTATTTTATCTTGTGCTGCAGCTCCAGACTGAGACAGAAGTGGAAGACTAACATAATCGAGGAAATAATATTGCAAATGGAAAGCCATTAGGGCGGTCGAGCACTTTCTCATGCTGCTTCTGAAATATGTCATTTAACATGTGCCACCGCATGACAAACTCAGACTCAAAAATGACAATTGTAATTTCCTCACAAAATTGTACAGTTCAGCCTTTACATGAACCCCAGACCCACAGTGCACAAGTAGTACACTTAGGAGCAAATAATAAAGGTGATGAGCTTCATATAAAATATCTAAGAAAAGAATTCCTGCTGTAAATGTTTGAGTTGCATCCTCTGTATTTGTTTCCTGCCCACTTCTACCCAAGTAATTTACTGCCTGGAACTCAGACACTGCATTTACATATGCTAGCAGTGATAGAAGTAGTACACAAATTCTTCACTGATGTAAAATGTGAAACAAATACCAAAAAGAAAAAAAAAGAAAAAGAATAATACATAAAGGCCACGCCTCTTTTGACCTAAGAAGTTTATCTTCCGTATTAAATTTTTTGCTAGACACACTTTTCGCTTCCTACTCTACACATTTCAGCCAATCTCAAGGTCCATTTAGTTATTGTTGTGGAGCACGCCACATGATCCTCATCACCAAATGGATGAAAATCTTTTGACTTCATTTTCATTTTTTATTTACTCTCAGTTTTTATATTTAATTTACCCTTCTTTAAATTAAAACCATGTTCAAGCTTTTCATAGGCCTATATATCATATACAGCTGTAGAAGACACTTTTTAAGTATGATTCATTTTTTAAATTATAATTTCAAGTATAACGGTACTTGCATAATATTCCTACACTCTCACTTCTTCTTTGTCTTACATTTCTGCCTGACTACATATGAACACATGACAAAAACAAACAATAATGTAAACACACATTTAGGAAACATACTTTGTCATATAATTTTTCCACAGCCACGCTGGGTACTCACCATATAGCTACCTCCCAACCTAATTACCACTGAAATGCATTTGTACTGTATATAGCAAGGTTAGGCTGCAGCATCACTTTCCAAGAGACAGCACTCCCCGCTGTGTTTCATTTACTCTATCACCCAATACTTATTCCACTTGTATCTCCCATTGGGTTGCTTCTCCCCCTCCTCCCTCACCCATCCATTGTATCCAGCCTCATTAGCACATAACAGGCTATCAACATTCATAGCAGGGTCCTGATTTAGATGTTCAACCTGATTAGCCTTTAATGAACTGAGACTGGCTACCCAAATGGAAGTGCACACAGTGGCATAAGACAATAACACATACATACAAATGTAAGCACAGATACGTCTTAACATTATATTCCCTGTGGTACATTTATTAGCCTCTGTTTTGCTCCTGTTTTGCTCATTATCACATTGAAGACATTGAATATGAGAGACTGCCACCTAATTATACTGTATGATGGCAGACAAGGTATACGTTAATTTGTGTAGAAAAAGATTGTTGAGATGTTTCATCTTAAAGAGAGATCTCTGGTACCTCTACAGCGCTACAAGAACAGATTATACTGCAGGGCACTTTTAATTACTGTGACGTGTGCTTAAATAGTGCATATCCCAAAGGTGCATTTAATAAAACTATTAAAAGCCAAATGAAACGCAATGCACTGGTGCATTGGTCTGGTTTTTCCGGTTGTCCATCTAATACAATACAAGGACAAATGGAAAGGTAAAATTAGTAGCGAGCTCAAACTTCACACATGTTCATGTTTCTCAAAGAGTATAAAAGAAACTTATAAACCCTTCTGAACAATTTTATTTCAATATACAGTAAATACAGGCAAAGCACCACATTTGTGGTATATGTGCTCTTCAAAGACAAAAACATAGATGAGCCTCTATAATGAAGAGAAATAATTGAAGCTCATGGCCTCTCCTTTATCTTTCTTTCCTCTCGTTTGCCTCTGGGGGAGTTTATTAAAGACCCATGCTGCCCTTGGATATTCAATCATTTTTCAGTCAGATGTAATGGATGCACTGAATGAATGCAAAGCCTGGAAACTCATTACAACAATCAGAATATGAATTCTTTTTGCCCCCCCGTTCCCTTTTCTCATCTTAAATGTCTCTCATCTTTGCATAGCTTTAAATAGTACAGACAATCTGGCTGGTGTGCTCCACTCTGGATTGTTTGAACTAATATGCCGATAACCAATCATTAGTATGTACTATAGATAAAATATTCCATCTTTAGTCTGTTTACTTTGTTTAGCAATGATGCGCTGCATTTGAAGCAGGAAATTGCCCTCTGAATAGATGAATGAAGTGCTCTAATGACAAATGACAGAATGTCACATTCACATATAGCAGATGGGATGCATTGCAACACACTGCTTGCTAATCATCCGCTATCCAGTTCACACATTCTGCTCTCCAAATATGAGGCAGAGGGGCAGATTGATGACCAATATTAAAAAATACCTTCGTTTCATTTCAAGAGGGAAAACTTAAAGGCAATGTCAATGTGCAGTATTATATCTGCTTCAATTTTGCTGGCATTTTTTAAACTCTGCAGCAATATACTTCTCTGCTACCTGTAATTTTCACCCACTTCCCCTAAACCTCTATGTGTTTATTTTCTCCTATCTCTCACCCTCTGCTCCAGCTCCTGGAGTACTTTCTCACTGGCCCGCTCTGCCTTGGTTACCACAGCTTTTCTACCCTCTGGCTCAATCAAGATGGTCATAACACAGCACATGTCCACCAGCTCTTCCTGACATCTCCTCATCCCAGCATCAAGCTCACCTCTCCGGGCTGGGTCACGCTTCAGAACCGCCTTCTCCGCCACAGAGAAGCCCAGCAGACCCGTCAAAACCTCATCAGACAACTTCACGTCTAAGTAACCAGTTCCGTCAGATATTACTGCACAAATACTCCAGACACCATTGTTGCCGCTCAGTTTCCCCAAGAGAGTCACAATGAAAGCTTTGACACGGATCTCAGTGGTGTGGGGGTGTGGTTTGGACATCAGCTGTTCTAGGAGGAACAAGTATGTAAAAGGTGGCGTGGTCAGAGTGAGAGCAGGGACTGTGCTGTCACTCTGTGGATCTTCATTAGCTGATAGTCTAACAGAGTCTGTTTGCCCCTGAGGTGTGCTGTGCGAGCTCTCACATGCAAGCTCTGTCTTAGTAGAAAACCTATCTGTTAAACTTTTTGATGATTTGCTGCACAGTGTATAACTGGAGCCTGAACTTTCTGTTGTGTTGGTAGCGATCTCTCTCTCTCTTCTCGGTCCTTGTTGAACAGGGAGCTGATTTGGCCCTTCAGTCCTCTCAGGTTGCATTCCATACGTTTCTACATCTTCAAGAAAGCAGTCCATATCCTCATCCATAAAATCGCACTCATTGTTAGTTACAAATTCAAATTCATGCGATGGCTCTAGAGCTGCTGGTGAAAAGACAGATGTGGAAGTTGCTGCGGATAACCGCCCTGTAGCTCCTTTGGTACAGCCTTGATAGTCTCTTTTCTGTGTGACAGACCTGGAGTTGCTAGGTCCAAACCGTGACCCTGAGCCATTTAAAGTGTGCTGCTCAAACAGGGCGGTTTTGGGTTTTGTTGCTCTGTCCAAACTGTTAGGACTTCCTGTTATTCTGCTGTTATTTTGTGGCGTGCTTCTGTGACTGCTGTCAGACTGCGCAGTAACATTTGTTGTTTCCTCAAAAATCATGCTGTCCAACTCATCCAGGGGCAGATCATCAAAATCTTCATCAGGAAAGTCTACTTCTGCCATGTCGTGAGATTGGACCTCTTGCTGAATCCTATGGTCAGAAGGTAAGACTTCAAAGAGGTCAGAATCATCTTGCTCATTATCGTGGCGACGTCTTTGGACTGAACCACCTCTGTTGCGCTGGGTCGAACCACTTCTGTAAGAGCGGGTGGAGGCTGCACTTCTGGAAGACACCAGCCAATAATGTTGGAATGAGCTAACAGAGCTTTTAACCATGGCACAGCCCATGGCAATCAAAAGAACATTTTCATTGAAACTTTTTGAAAAAATAATACTAATACTAATATATACTAATACTCCAGAAACAGGGCTACCAAGAGAGTTTTATGTCATATGTCACTCGCAAATGTTAAGTCTTATCTTTGATTGCAGCCTGAAGTTGGTGAATTAAGCAACTTGCCACCAGGAAGATTCTTCTGCAGTTTATACTATAATTAGTAAATTGCATTTATCCTTATCAAACTGCGTAGTAATGAAAACTGGTGAATATTGGAAAAACAGAAATGTATTGGAGTGCAGAAGTAAGAGCTCCAGTACACCATACACAATTGATTTTGGTGTGACGTTTTGATTCTGCTCTGCTGTTTCTCCTCATTCAGCAGTTCTAACAGTGTCTTAAGCACAGTATTCATTTAAAACATTCTTGTTAATGCAACAAGAATTTGTATATTTGTATCTTTCATTAAAAAAAGGAACAAATTGGTCGAAAGCAAGCAAACAAAGACAGCAACAATTTCAAAAAATTATACAAAATAAGTGTGTACATAGGCTGTAGAATGAAAGTGCTAAATGCTTCCTCAAGTAGCTGAACGGTGATTTGATATTTTTTTCTGAAAAGTAAAATTCAAAATGTCAATGTATATTTGCCCTTCAATGAAAACCGAGGAGTCACAGCATTAAAATGTCAAGACATCATAATGTTAACCACTCACCTGGATGAGGCTGCTGAGACAGAGGAGGTTCTCGAGAACTGAGTGGAGGTCTCACTGAGTGTCCCGTAGCCACTCTCTTGAACAGACCCATCCTGAACCCTTTCCACTTCTTCCTGGGCCCCCAGACTGGCCAACAACTCTGCATCATCCAGCTCCAGGTCCTCCATTTCCTGATTACCTGAAAAGAAAACAAAAAGAGACTCTGTATCAGGACTGTCTTAAACTTGAGTTCCTTCATTCATTCCTCTAATTAATAAGCATCCATTAACTTTCTTAAAAAGGCCTTATTCTATTTAAAAAATCTAAAGTTCTAATCAAATTCACACCAAACTGGTTCTGTCATATTGTACATATTCTGTGCTCTCAGTGACCTTTGTAGCACATGATCTACCATTAAACATACACAAGCTACCTTGTTGTGATGCTGGTGGGGCCTCCTCTCCTTCCTGCTGCTGCTGCTCCTCAGGAAGTCCCAGCGTCCGACACAGCACCCTGCCCTGTCAGGATTGTATAGAAACATGCCACTCAATCTGTATATATTATTGCATGTTATACACTGTATAAGAACAGCTGCGATTATGTCTTTGTTCTCACTTAAAGCGGTAACCAAACCATCACACCTTGATATATTCTCAATATATATACGAGAAACACAAATCAACAGGTGATTAGTTCCAGTTTATATTCATAACAAATGTGTAACTAAGACACAGAAAACACAAACATGGATTCGTAAAAACCTACTTTTGACAGACACTAGAAACCAACAGTTTACCTGATTATTCCTGTCCACCAAGTCCTCCACCTCACCACCCAGGACTTTGATGTTAGCCGGCCCCAACAGCAGCATCCCAAGTCTGCAAACCATCTGTCCTTGCAACTGCAGCTTCACACCGGGCCTGGGAAAGTCACCAGCATTTTAGAAGATATATAGCTAAAAGAAAATGTTTTTAAAATTTATGAGAAACAGGCAGCAATATAGCAGTTCCATGTCTGTGAACTTCAATTTTGCTTTTGTGACTTCTCTACCCAAAACTAAGAAACCCTCTGAAGGTAGCTGAAAGTAGTCCCTCTGTCTCTCTAAAATTTGCTTAAACGCATGTGTTATTATAAAACTGAGGCACAGTTGCTGACAAGACATTTTTGCTTAATTTCAGGAGGGCATAGTTCTTCTTTTTATATGGTTAGCAGCAAAAAGAGTGTCTTATAGATCAAATCTTAACCTGAGCGCTGAGCTGAGTGCAGGTATAGGCTGATACTCCATGGCCTCCAAGCTCTGGACTCCATCTGTCACCTGTACAACAGAGACAGTATATATGACCAGGAAAAACTGAACTGTGAAATTATTGTGTAATAATTACATTCTAAAAATATTGAAAAAGAAATGTTCAACATTATTGCTGCCCTAAATTTATTTTACTTAGCTGTTTTAGAAATTCTAAAAGTTGTTTAGCTGCAAATCTTCCCTGACTGAGTGAATTTGGAAATAATTGCAGCTCTGTTTTTCATTATATATGGTAGCTGACTGGGATTTTTGAAAATGTAAAGCTGGTCAAAGTTCATCAAACATATCTGCTTTATTACCTAGCTGCCTTTTGGCAGTGACTTCCATGCATTTCAACGCCATGCAACCCATGACTCCTAGAACTTGCTCAAAATGGTCTGAGAAACAGTGAAATAAATGGAGAAAAAAATAGCCAATGCAACGTTTCTAAGCAACACTAACACTATTCTTGAGAAACCATAGAGCTGTGACAAGTGTATTACTTAAGGTGAAAATTACAGTCTGCGCCTCATATTCCAGCAATTTACACTTTCATATATTCTCACTGTTTGTACCTGGCCACTCAGATTCAGTTAGTAAGAGAAGCGGAAGTCTTCATGATTTTACCCAACCAAACACAAAGATAAGCCTCGTTGTATAGGGTTGAACAATATAATTTTGCAGACTAACAAATAGTGTGACGCTGCATTTATATCAAATCCACTATATTCAATACTAGTTCATATAATGCAAAAAACTACTGTAACACAATTATGCTTCAAGTCTGCTGTGATCCCAAACTTTTCTTTTAACGAAATAATAATACAGCTCCGTCCTTGACGAGTACCGTTTTCCGCAACAAGGATCTCTAAAAGGAAACCTTGCAATAACTGCTAGTCTAGCAATAAGCTGTGAAGTGCTACAAATTATTTCACTGTTGTTTGTTATGAGAGAAAAAAATCTCTGCAAGTGCAAAGACACTCTCACAATGTTTTATTGAGTATGGGTGTTAATGCAAAAGCCACTAGTTCAAAATACACACACAAACATACTAATTAGAGGTAAGTACTCATAATTTGTTGTTGTTGTTTTTTTTAATTAAACTTGTTTCAAGGCTAGAAATTCTTGTTTACCTTCAAAGATGAGATTTCCTTAGTTGAGAGGCTGACAATTTATATTACAACTATTAGGTCCACTGGGGCACAACATCAAGATTTTAGGGTGATTTATTTCATAAATGCCTCTGACCTGCAGTAGTAGCATACGGGTAGGTTTGGCTTCCCAGGGCCTCTGCGTGATCTGTGTGACTGCAGACACCTCGTCATTGGCACAGTCGGTGCCCTTCCACTTCTGCAGCTGACCATACGCAGGCTGACTGACATCCAGTAATGAGTCAACCTAAAACAGAGTGAGATCTTTGATTACATTGCCTTTTCCCTGCATATTAATTTCTTAAATATCTAGTGAAATATTTGACACTACGGTCTTATTACAGTGTAATTGACATACAGTTCGGTACTTGAATTGCTAGTATTATTTGTGAGTGGAACGTGCACCTTTGGCTCCCATCATTGTATGTTCGGAACATTTAATTACTCTGTCTCAGGGTTTCCAGCTGGGTTTTTATATTTTCTGTCTAAAGAAAAACTGGAATCCAGTGGTGCTTTGTTATAAAGCAGCTTCTGACTGTACTCCAATCATCTCTCTTCCATGAAGTGCCCAAGAGCCTTAATTTTGCTACAACAGCTTGCTGTGTGATTTTGTCTATTTTGCCTATAATTGTCTTCTTGGTTTAATATCTGTATTGCACTAAAGAACACACCAATCATGAAACCGTGAAAAGAAAATTTTCTAAGTCAACTCTGGCTAATTTATCATTTTCTACTGATCAACAGGCATTGTGCACAACATGAGATCTAAAAATAAACATGAGTTTAAATATATGACCAACAAGCCTGCACCTGGACACAGAATGTGCCACTGAGTTCAGTCTTCTGGGCCACAGCAAGTCCTTCAGGGAGAACAGGGTAATCCAGGTCTCTCAGATCTGTCAACAGCCACTGGTCCAGCGCCTAAAATTGACATGAAACAAATTATGATACACTAACCTCAATAGACCAACACTAGTCACACTTATCTTTGTGTCAGATCTAATTGTGCTCTTAGAAAAGTTTCAATATTTCAAAGAAATTATTCAGAAAATTGAGAATTTTCACAGGGAATTTGAGGCATAGTGACTCAGCTGTGTGATAAAGTCCCTGGAAAATTTTAGATAGATAGATACTTTATTTATCCGCTAGGGGAAATGTGTCCATTAGCTCAATGTTGATAATAATAATAATAATAATAATAATAATAATAATAATAATAATAATAATAATAATAATAATAATAATAATAGTTAATAATGAATAAACAATAATAATCAGATTAGTCCACTTCCTTTGGCTGAGGTGTTGCCTGATGGCAGTGGGAACAAAGGATCTCCTGAACCTCTCTGTTCTGCAGCATAGTGAGATGAGATGTTTGCCTCTGATTTTGGTCTCTTATTCGTGATATGAACATGATCATCTGCATCACTGAATGAACTGATGTCAATGTCATGATGCTGGAACCACCAGGAATGAAGCATTATTCTCCTCAAGTATCTATATGAAAAACAAGATAAACCTTGGCCATGGAGGGACACAGTTGTTCAGCAACAGTATTTAGGTACAATGTGGCGTACAACTGATGCGTCAATGCATGAAAACATATCCCACATGACACCACCGGCAGCTGGTACAGCTGACACCAGGCAAGATGGACTCATTCTGTTTACACGATTTTTTTTGCCCTGCTATCAGCATGTTGTAACAGAACCGGGTATTTGTCAGATCAGGAGGTGTTCTTTCACTCTATCACCCACATTTGCCAATCATTACCCACTGTAGCATGATCTTTCTGTTCTCAGCTCACAATAGTAGAGATGTGCCTGGTCTTTGGCTTTTGTTGCTTGTCTGCTCCAAGGTTCAATGGGTTGGTCTTTCTGTGTGCTACATATCAGGAGTGTATGGTTCGGCAATATTTGATGACTGCTGGGCCCCATATTGTGTATAGCATCTCTCAGCTAGTTAAATTACACTCTGCGTTGCTGCATCTGCGCATGCAAGGATACTGGAATTTCCTTCCATACAAGAAAGAAAGACACAAATCATGTGCAATGTCAAGGAGATTATTCATTTCAACCTGGGTTACTCCTTACAGAGTGGTTCACAAGACAGAATCACACCAAAGAGCTAAAGAGGTATATGCCATCACATGCAACAGCTGCAGGGAGGCAAATTAGTTATTTTCATTGTTAATCTGCTGATTATTTTATTGTTTTTCATGTTTAGTTATGAAATATAAAAAAGATGCCCTTCACATATCCTGAAAGCCCAAAGTGACATCTGGTAATTTTGTTGATTTTTGTTGACAAAAATCAAAGATGTTGACAGTTTTTAATCATTTAAAATGGAGAAAAGCCTCAAATCTCCACATTTGAGAGACCAGAACCAGCAATTGACATCTTTACTTGATTAAATGGCTTAAATGATTAAAGAGATTATCAAAATTATTTTAGATAGATTTTTTGTTGATTATTGGTCTGATTGTTTCTGCTCTACACAACTGTAGTGAACACTATTTACTACAGGTGAAATGGCAAGAACATTAGATAAGAGACTGAATGAACAGTGGAAGCAGCTAGCAGCTGCCTGAGGACACCAGACCAAAACTAGTGACAGCATCAACTGGGAACGGGTCAAAGGTCATCAACCAATAGCCAGTTGATAGCCCATCACACACGACAAGAGACCAGTTTTTGAACTGAGACGGGGTAGTCATCTTCCCCCATCTGTTATCACATCCAAGGTTTATACTTAATCACGTGATAATAACTGAGCTATCTCCATGACAACTGTGCAAACCCCATCTGCTGAGAAAAACCATGAGACGGAAAGCTCCAGAAACAGCTAGTAACTGGACACTGAGTTAACATTTTTTGTGAAGTGTGGTCATTTTGCATTCAGCTGTGCAGTTAGACAGTCAGACATCCTGCCTACCTGTTGGTTGATTTGCTGCTGTGACAGACGACCTGCCCCTCCTGCCTCTTCCTGTAGCCACTCCACGCAGGCTTCCAGCCAGGCAAAGGGCACCTGGACATGCCAGGAGGACTGCAGCCAGGCTTGTGTAGCATGCACCACTGCCTGTATCTCAGGTGCCATCCTCTTCCTGTGTGTATTTGACTTCCACTTTCTGCTATGTCTATAAAGGAACACAACTCTAACTTCTGATAGGCTGTTATTTTGAAGTTTATGCAGCCAGGTTGATAACAGAATTCAGTTATTTTTCAGTAATGACTCTGCTGTGAACAAGACATTCATGGATTTATTTGCAGACTGAATAGTTCCTGTTCACAACATTAACCCACTGTTATTTTTGTAAAAACTGTATCTAAAAGGTTTTGTGATGGCACATTAATTGTCAAATTTCACTCTGTTGCAAGTGTAGTCTATAAGATGTGGCTCATATGCTGCATTTAATTTAATTCATGGCACAGCACCTGCAATGCCTGAGGTCTTAAAGGGGGTTTCTATTGGTAAGGGGTCATCTTCTCTCTGCATCTCTGGAACCACTTGACAGCATAACATAAACCATAGGAATTGCTTTCTGTTATTTTCCTGGGGTCATATCAGCATGTATAAGCTCTGTATCTCTGCAGAGGGTCACGTACTGTGGAGGAGAGAAAGAGGCAGACTAAGTATTAAATGCAGGCAGGGATAACATGCCGCATAATAATAAAACCTGGAAAAAATAAAGGTTATATTCAGGAAAGCACTGTTGTAAAAGTTACCTGAGAAGCATGGAGGCAGCCTCTACCATGAAGTGTTGTGGATAGCAGCCAAGGCGCCAAAGTTGACTAACCAAACTTATTTAGCTATAGTTAATGCTGTGGCACCTTAGCTTTGTGTCCGTACATACCCACAGAAGCCCTTATGTTCAAATACAAATATTTTAAACATAACAATAGGCTACTGCCTCTACAAGTTCTCAGAAAGACACAAATCCACATTAGCCATGTAGATCATACCTTATAAACAGGAATAACTTGAATGTCCACAGTAAACGACCGATCCAACTGTAGCCGGAAAGAGGGCTATTGCATTATTTTGAAAACGCCTCCAATGTTGCGATTGACGTCTGTTGTAGCCAATTGGAACTCTCTCCTGTTTGATTTGCTTTCTGTTCAACCAATCAGCACACTTTAGCTGAACTTGTAGATTTCCAGGTTCGGTAGAGAAGGAAGGGGGCGAGCGAGGTGTTGCACCGCAGGTTTGTGTTTTGACGGTATTTTCCCAGTTTTTTCTGTGCCACATTGAGTTTAATGCAACCGAAGTGTAAATGTGCTTTATAAAATATTTATTGAGCAGTCCCTTTGTTTCTTATTCTGTGTCCGGGTATAACGCTGGATAATTAGCTGGCCAGGCTAGCCCCTCTTGTGCTTAACCGAAATTATAGCAACATGGCGAAATTAGCTAGCTGCTAGCCTAAGTAGCTAGGGCTGGTCTTTGTATTAATCGATTGGTACGGTTTTATCAACCCACTAGCTTTAAATCGGTAACATATCGCGATGCTTTTTGTCGTATGCAACTAATTACGTGTTTGAAAGGAGTATGGTCGAAATGTAGTGAAATTACCAATTCAAATCGACACGATGAAGCTCGTAGCTAACGCATTTCCCTCCAGGCTAGTTAGCCATCCCGGTAGCTAGCACTAACCACAGTTCACGATTTATCGTTGGGTTCAATTGAGCTAGCTAACTTTCGGTTTGGGCAGTGTTAGCGTCTAAGTACTTAATTTGTGGCGTCAGTTATTAAGCTGTAGACAGCTTGAAATTGAGAAGTCACTGTTATTTTCCGGGGTAAGATAGCAATTGCGATAAATATCGGCGCTACTGTGGGATCTAACGTTAATATTGTTCGTTCATCACTCAGCTCTTGACTAAACGACCGTGGCAGTCGCTCACCTCCTTCACTCCGAAACATTACAAAACACCTGCCTCTCTCCACCCAAGAAATCCTATTAATATCATGATGTGATAACATTTAAAAGCTAATTGCGTCCCTTCAGGTGATGATGGGTAGGTTTTAATGCTTGCTAGATAGATACTAAATAAGCACACGAGACCTGTATTCTTAAGTAACGTTATCAGTCACCCGCTATCCAAACAGAGAAATAACTTAGTGAACGGAATCGGTGCATTTCAAACTTTGCTGTCACTCGGCCTTTTTCATTTTACATTTCAGTATTTCAGCTAGCCTCTCCCTCCCCGGCAGGTCGCAGCAGCTGTTTGGTCCTTGCTTTTTTAGTTCCGCCTATCAACACGCCCTTGTCCCTGTAATAAATATCGGTGAGTGCCGCTTTTCCGTCAGTTTTTTTCGCAATTTCATGCCGGCTTCTCGAGTAACCGGATAACCAGAATATAGGTGTAATATCTAAGTTCTTCTTTCCCCTTCTTACAATGCCGACAGGCTACCACAGCTCAGAGGGGCCAGTTTTCTGCTTCTCTCTCCCTGCTGCCTCCTTCTCTTCCCCGGACCAAGGTGCCTACCGCATCTCTTCCACTGTCAGAAGACCATGGAGACAGAAATTGAACAGCAAGAAGACACTTCATTTAGCAACACGGAGACTAACGGTATAAAACATATCTTCTTTACATTTGTGGTTATGTTGTCAAAGTGCATTGGTTTATTGACAGGTTTGAGAAATCCATCTATATTAGAAACATCTATGTGTTTTGTAATGAAAGGACATCAGTGACAATGTTGTAGTAGCTGCTTACAGCTTGCAGCTCTGATTTTGAAAATTAGTGCAAGTTATCAAGGATTATGAATTTTCACTTGGTATCCCTCTTAGAGGTTAAATGTCTCAAAATGTTTGTGCATCAGTCATAGAATAAAGCTATATATATTTTTTTTTATATATACACAAAATTGTGCTTGTGTTGTCATAGAAGAATTTCCTAGTTTTGCACACAATTATTTGTAGCTTTAGCTAATAATATGAAAACAGTCTGAAAATATAAGTCTTGTTAGCCTGTGCTTTCTGTGGTTTTTTTGATAATTCAATTTTATCTAGTGGATGGCTGTGCATGCATGGTTGTCAGTGTGTGTTTTTATCTCCTTATGCCAGGTAAGCGCCCTGCTGAGGATGCAGATGAGCAGAAATCATTCAAACGCTCCAGGAACTCAGACGAGATGGTTGAGCTCCGCATCCTCCTGCAGAGCAAAGTAAATCAACTCCCTTTTCGTTTCACATTTCATGTTGAACCCCTTTCATGTGATTATCTCTATTTTTGTCTTTCTTTTGCGCACCACCAAGACTGCCGACTTCTTGTACTGCCTCCGTTTTTTATGGTTTTCTTTTTGTTGCCCTGATCACAAATGTGCCTTTTGATACACACACGCACCTTGTTTTTTTAATGGGAGTACCAATGCTCAAGTTCTTTTTAACATTTATATGTATTTTTTATGCTTTGTTTTTATAAGTATTCTCTGTATTCTCAGAATGCAGGGGCTGTAATTGGAAAGGGTGGCAAAAACATCAAAGCCCTGCGTACAGACGTGAGTACATCTATTTTATACACCCTGAATTTTTATTTTGTTGAGATTTTTTATTTTGTGTTTTTTACTTTTCCCTCCATTGGTGTTCCGCCTCTCAAAACTACCCAGTCTCCACTATAAGACAGCAGTTCTCATTACAAACATTTACCCTGGGATAAATAATTAAAAACTTATTTTGGTATTTGGCAATGTTTTCTTCTGTGTAAACAAGGGGTGTGGTTAGCTGATGCCTATGTTGATATTAGCCTTCTGTTCATGAGATCTTCTGACAAACGCTTTGGGCTTGGTTTTATGTTTTCCTTCTCACATGAACACCATGTGATTGCCTCAGCTAAACTGGCCCTAGGCACATAAGTACAATTTCATGTCCATTTATTCCTCTATAATGATAGTTTATTGTAACAATGCTGTTTTGGCAACACTGATGCTCTTATTAGTTTAAATTTATGGCCACAGTTTGGTGTTTGAAGTCGCCTGCAGTGCCAGCTAACATTTTTTATAGGAGTTAAGGCAACCCGGACAGTACTTAATTCATTCAGTGTCATTGCCTGTTTTGTAGCCCTCCACAATTTGTTCAACCCCTCTCTCACTGTCTCTGGTCTATTCCCCAACTTTGAACTCTTCATGTTTTTAATATGCCATTACCCATTTTCCAATGTCACCTTTTCTCCTCTTCTCTCTTTGACAAACCAATCTCTGAGAGAATCAAATTAAAGTCACGTTTACACAGTGTAGAGCCTGTATATTAAAAATGTATTCCTCTCCCCTCTTCCCTCTCCCTTGTTTATTATTTACTGTTGACTTTTTTGCCCACTTCCTCCTCTGTTGCCCATGTTCTGGATGGCCCCTCCTGCGCCCGCCCACCTGACACCCTGGTTGGCCCTGCCCATAATCGTGCCCTGTCCCTAAATGGGCGCCTTACTTGATTGACATCTGTGCTCGAATGGCCCTGGCCCCTGCCCATGCCACGCCCAGTACAATGCCAGTGTGTCAGTCCCAGACAGCAGTGGGCCTGAGCGGTATGTCCCTAAGCTCCTCCCTCTCACTGCCTGTCTACAGGTCAAACAAACAAGAAGAAATGAATAATAAATAGTCATCCTGCCTCTGTCAAGTATTTTAACCTACCTGTTCTCACAGTATTTTAGCCTGAGTCAAAATGCTTAAATGCATTCATGTCCAAATCTGCCTGTTGAGCCTGTAAAAGTCATGTCAACATCCGTTATATGCCATTTTTAAAGTCACGTCAACATTGAAGCATAGGCTGGTGTTGTCAGGATTTTTTTCCACAATCTGCCACTGTCTTTTTAAATCTTTGCTATAATCTGTGCAATATGTCCGTGTTTTTTTTTTTTTTTTGGTTTATTTTTTTATATTTATTTTTGTTTTATTTTCATTGATGATTACCTATCCTCTTTTATCTTTCGCGTTTTCACCCCCCCCCCACCCCACCCCCAAGTGGATATACTGGTGTTTTTGTTTTTTCGTTAGTTTCATAAGCTCACCTGCTTCTCGCACCCATCTCATTCTTTCCTTGTGATGTCCTCATTATATTGAGACACTCAGACTGTTGATCCATTCTCAAACGGAAAAGGCAAGCTAGGATTCAAGTGTTGTGTATGTGTGTATGGGTGCGCGTTTGTTTTTCCTTTCCTGTCTTCTGCTTCATCTGAACTTGTTTATCAACTGCTGGAGCTACTGAAAGTACAGATTATGTCTCTCTGTCCCACTCACCTCTGCATTTTTTGGTTTTGTTTGTCGCTTCTCCCATCCCTTTAAAAAGCATCAACTTCAGTGGTGGCAAACTTCATTTTCCATGGTGTAATCTGCTCTGTTTCCTTTCTTCAGCTGTCTACCATTCTACTTCCATGTACCAACTGTGCTTAAGTTCTATTGATCAGTAAATTCATTGTTTATTTTATTATGTCACTAGGTGGGTGCAGACAACAAAATTTTATTTACAATTTCTTGGCCAAATTAAGAATCAAAATAGCTATCTGATCCAAATTTTTAAGATGGAACCCTTCTCAAATGATAAAAATAGGAGAGGAGTCATTCATTCTCTTCATCTTCCCTGATCTTTAAAGTTGTGTTCTTATTTTGGGTCTTTGCAGTCAAAGTCTTTGTGGTGTGCATCCACCAAACTATGCTTTAGGATTTTAGAGTTCTCACTGGAACCATTGGTTCTTATTGCTGCCAGATCGCCCTCAGATTCACCCTCCCCGTTTTGCCCCTTCAGTGATCACCTAATG